TGCTGGATCTACAGAACCTACTCAACAAAGTCATCAATAGCGTCGGCAAGATCGAGCACAGCTTATATCCTTCAGCAGCGGTCAGAGACGTGTGTGTGTGTGTGAGTGAGTGAGTAATAACTCTGGCAGGAACTGTGTTGAAGTCCTTGACGAGCGTCACCTGGAGGTCGTTCCACACGGAGCGTAAGACTGAGCAGGCCACAGGGTTCATTGATGGAGATCTGATCGAGAGCTTCCTGGATCTGGGTCGAGCGAAGATGCAGGAGGTGGTCAGCACTCTGCAGGTGATCATGCGTTCGTGTTTCTTCATGATTCATGCTCTGATGAAGGTTTGCGCTCGCGAATCGTCTGTCGTATCATACGGTGATGAGCGGTTAAAGCTGTGTCTCCAGGCGCTCTTTCTGGAGCCGTGTTTTACTCGTCTGACCCGTCTCTGGCAGGTGTGTTTGGATAGGAAGGGTTCAAAAATGGCTCTGTCCAAAGAGAATATTGAATTATTACCACAATACTGATTTCTCACTAGACATCAAGTCAAATGTTTGGCAAAATCCAACATCTATACGCAAACTGACAGCCAACTGCAATTTTCAGACACCTTTTATTCAGCTCAACTTTCATATAATTGCACGTAAAGGATTGTGGGATATCATAGGGGTGTTCCATGTCATGGCAGTAAAGATAGTGTTTGTGGAAGCTCTGGATTTGAGTTTGAATCGCCTATGACAATCATATATAGGCCTTGATTAGATTTACAGAACATTTGTCGATTAAAATGAATAAGAACAAAGCAGAAAATTCTTCATTTTACAGAAGCAGAGTTGAAAAATCTTGCCCTTATATAAAAGTATGAAAGTTACCCGTCTATAATGCTGTGACCTACGTAATTATGACTCTTAAATATGAACATCTGTACATCAGTGCTGCTCTCATGAATCCATCAGAAGGAGGTGTCAGCAGACAGGAAGTGATGCGATCGCTGGATTCCTTAAGTGTTTTACTGCTGTTGTGCCTCCAGAAACAGGGCTGGAAACCCCGAGCTAAAGATACATGTTCACCAAAGATTGATGTTTTCATTTAAAAGATTATTTAATTGTAATAAAAATACTCCCTTCCCCTGCTACAAAGATGGTTCTGCAGCAGATGCTAATGAGAGAAGCACGCGATGCTGCAGTGTGCTTGTGTAAACTACATCTGTCTTCATTCGCTCGTGTGTGTGTGTGTGTGTGTGTGTGTGTGCTGCAGATGGATGACGGCAGCGGGATGAAGCGCGAGGCGACGGTGGACGAGGTTATTAAAATCGTGGAGGAGCTGACGCGGATCCACTAACCGCGAGCGTCACACATCTGTACATAGCTATACCTGCATCAGAGCGTGTGTTTCACTCCACCTGATGCATAGAGTTCAGTCACGCTCACACACTCTCGTCTTCATGTGCTTGTCCTGAGCCTCCAAATGAAGATTCTGCCAGCACCGATCCGCAATAGCTTTAGTGAAGCGTTTATCAGTGTGGTGTCTCTCTGTTCATTCATTTATTTTAATAAAGTTTCCTTCAGTACTTTGGGCCTGTTGTGTTTTATGAAGTCTGTGTGTGGTCTTTTAATAAGAGCAGCACATTACATGAGAGATGAATGGAGTCATATTATCTCTGACGGTTGCCGCTGCTATTGAACGTGTCTGGATAATGTGCAATAAACCCAGACAGCTCAAATCAGCCGGACTGTACGTTATCCTGTGTATTACATGACTGCTTACTTCATACATAAATCAATGGACATGAAATATTGAGTGCACTATTTTATTATGAGAAGCAAGAGAGTGATATGAGACAAGAAACAGCAGTTTAGCACTCATATCTGTCCTGATCCACGTAATATAATCATAAGTGCGCGCTTGATTGAAAGAATATGAGTCGTTAATACATAAAACAACTTATGGCGCTTGGTGTCAGCTCTTACGAATATTATTCATTTTTATTTTTAAAGCTTTTGTTCATGTTCCAAAATTCCTGACAAACCAGGACTGGTGAAGTGTCCGTCTGTAGATGGTTTGAAGCAGACGAGTTATACTTGACAATCCACAGCCGGGTTTATTTGGGTAACGAGCAGAACACATTTTGTTTCTATCCTCTCTAACCCTTCTGTTTGAGGTTAACGAGTGGAAGAGCTGAATCAGCTGTGTTTAATCAGAGAAATGTGTGCTGTTGGTGGGAAGTTTTAGGCACTGGTTCCTGCTCTGGCAGAACGGTCTCTCATCATGTTTCTGGTCTGTAAATGTTCAGACACTGCAGTAGATACTCAGCAGAATGAAGTTCATCGTCCTGCAGATCACACATGGACACAAATCAGCCTTGATGATGAAAGTGCATGCAGTAATAAAAGCTTCTTTTAGTCATTTCTTGAGTTCGCCTGCCCATCCAGTCCTGATGGTTAATGCGAAACAAACTTGCCTTTCTGTCCTCGATGGAGACTCGAACCCGAGACTCAGCCTGAGCTCCAAGTTCAACCCCCCCATTGCCCTACTGCCTATAGAGGGAGAATAAGAGAAACACAGGAGGAGATGGGGAGGTGGAGGGTCGCAGACGAACTGACTCGGTGCAATGAGAGCTGCTTAGATGCTCATATAGGCTCGTGATGATTAGGTTCCTCCCGTTTGGAGCTTGATTTTGACCCAGTGCATTGAACATCTTGGGTCTTTGAAATCTTGATGGTCTTGGGAAAGATCTGTGTAATTTCTTCAGTTCAGCATGAACCCGCCATGAGGACTGATGATGGATTCCTGTTCTGTCAAGCAAGATGAGGCACAAAACCTCTGATTCCTGCCATCATACACATCATACAAATGTTTTCATCTTGAGCAAGTCTTCTGTAATCGTGCAGATCATCAGTGAGCTTCAGACCAGGTAAATACGTTAATTTCATTACAACGCTGTAAATATCATGCATCATTGCTAAAGAAACTATTTTCCTATAATGTTCAGTTTGTTCATTATGGCTTCCGATGCTCTGATATATGTTTATGCAGTATAGTTTGTATATGACACATATTCATGAGTGGATTCGTGAATGAACATCGTCCACGAGAAACCTTTGAATCAGCTGATTACACTGTGAACAAGAACACACACACACACACTCTCACACTCACACACACACACACACACACACACTCACACACTCACACACACACACACACTCACACACACACACACACTCTCACACACAC